TTAATCGTTTATTGGCTATTCTCCCTACAGAGAATAGGCAGGCAGAGATCCAGTCTGAACGAAGCTATAAGAATTTTTGGGATTATTACTAGCTTTGGCCAAGAGGAAGAAGTTTCCAATATTTTTTCGTAGCATATTTTATGGACTTTTATGTTTTAGACCACACCGTTCAACGTACTAGACGCAAGAGGTGGTGCGCCACGAACAGCTTCAGGAAATTTATCCACCTAACTCTTGCAGTTTGTTAATCCAGTGTCATCGGGTTTATCCACTGTCTCCTTTCGATTTTAGTGAGTTTTGTTACATACAGATGGCTCCACGTGTGCTCAGCAGCAAGGAGTCTATCGGCTCTAGTGACCGATCCTGATTTCCCCATTTCAATTGGCGGGAAAATGCATTTTTCTTTCCAATACTACTAATATTGGCATTGTTATCATTCTTACTGATATTATGATTATCAAATTGTTATTAAGATATTACTAACATCAAAGACAATAAAATAATAGAATTGAAGCTTTCAAAAAACGATGAAAAAGGGTAAACAGATGAAATAGGTAAGACTAACAGCTATCTCCTTGGTGACTAAACACTTGTAGAGCATCTGTATGTAACGGCAATAAACTTCTTATTACATTGGGCAATGCATTGTAGTCTTGCCACCCGCTGACACTGGGTTCGTTCGTCAATATCCTCTAGAAAGCACGGATTCTTGTCGAGGTTTAATGCACTGGTTCTGATGAACGGTGCTGCCCTTCCTCTCCATAGATAACTTGCCAAGGATGTTATGATGCGACAGTGTACAGTAAAGGATTCGTTCCTTTTGACGTTAATGATGTTAAGTGCGAGTCATTCCACGTGGCCGAGGCGGTGGTGGGATTTCTGTACATTTCTGGCCAACATTTTCGCCAGTAACGAGTTTGTCTCATCCCTGTTATTGCCACCCATACACAGACGAAAATGCGTCACGTATTAAAGCTCGTGCCTTTTGTTAGAGAAAATGTGAACACATTTCATGTCAAGGAGAGACTACTAAGAGATATGTTTTTTTCTTTCTTTTTTATGTAGAATCGTAACTAGATAGAAACCAAAACCCCATTTTCGTCGAAATTCTCTCTCTCTATTTTTTGCTCATAAAGTAAACTATACAAAGAAATGTTCATACTATACAGTACAATAAGTACCGTTCACTCCTCTATGGCGAGTGAGCACGGCCTAGCGTTAAAGACAGGTCGATGGGTACCTTACCTTGCAGGAGCAACTGAGTCGAGATCATCACACGTAATGGAGTCGTATCCCTGACCGTTTCATATCATATATATAATATATACGTATTTTATATATACACATGCATACATATATATATATATATATATATATATATATATATATATATATATATATATATATATATGTATATATATATATATATATATATATATATACATATATATATATATATATATATAATATATATGTATGTGTATATATATAATACATATATATTATATATATATGATATGTATATATATATGTATATACATATATACATATATATATATATATATATTATATATATACGTATTTTATATATACACATGCATACATATATATATATATATATATATATATATATATATATATATATATATATATATATATACATATATATATATATATATAATATATGTATGTGTATATATATAATACATATATATTATATATATATATGATATGTATATATATGTATATATATACATGTATGTGCATATATATAATATATATATATATATATATATATATATATATATATATATATATATATATATGTATATATATGTATATGTATATATATATATATATATATATATATATATATATATATATATATATATATATATATATATATATATATATGTATATACATATATAGATGTGTATACATATTATGTATATATAATACATATATATTATATATATATGATATATATATATATACATGTAAATATATATATATATATACATGTAAATATATATATATATATATATATATATATATATATATATATATATATATATATATATGTATATATATATATATGTATATATATATATATGTGTGTGTGTGTATGTGTGTGTGTGTGTGTGTGTGTGTGTGTGTGTGTGTGTGTGTGTGTGTGTGTGTGTGTGTGTGTGTGTGTGTGTGTGTGTGTGTGTAATATATTTGTATAATATGTATTTAATATATTATATATACATATATATATATATATATATATATATATATATATATATATATATATATATATATATGTATATATATATATTATATATATACGTATATATATATATATATATATATATATATATATATATATATATATATATATATATATATATATAAGTATATGTATATATATATATATATATATATATATATATATATATATATATATATATATATGTATATATATATATATATATATATATAAATATATGTATA